TAAAATCTGAAGTGGAATCAGCATTGGACAAATTGAACAGAAACAAAGCAAAAGGGCCAGACGGAATGGTAATAGAGATGCTGGTGGTCTTAGATGATTTTGGTATAGACAAGGTTACAGACATAAAAAAAAAATGAAATCTACAACAGTAGGGATATACCGGAAGACCTAGGTAGATCTATTTTCATAGCGTTGCCTGAGAAACCAGGTGCAAACGAATGTTAAATCCATCGGACATCAGCCTAAAGAACCATATAACATATCTTATAATCTGAATTCTGATGAATAGAGTGCGCAGCAGAATCCATCTAGAAATAGGACAGGAACAGTGCGGGTTCGTCAAAAATACTGGAACAAGGAACGCTATTTTTATACTCAGAATGATATCACAATGAGCAATACAAATGCAGAAGGATGTGTACCTTCGTTTTATGGCTTATTCAAAAGCGTTTGAATGAGGTACGGTCACAAAGAACTGCTGACGTTGCTCAATAACCTTGACATATTTAAGAAGGATATTAGAATAACCAAGAACCCATATTGTGAACAAACCACCCGCAGAAGAATGCTGAGGATACCATGGACCGAAATGTAAGTAACGATGAAGTTTTAGAGAAAATCTGGTACTCAAAGGGCATGTTGAAAGCAAGATGGAAAGAGGAAAACAACGCATAAGCTACTTGGTGAGCTTGAGTAAATGGATGGTGGAATAGGGTTCAGAGATATAACAAAAAGAGAACATTTTTTAATAGATACGAAGATATGAAAATTGTGGAGAGCCATGATCGCGTACGTACTGAAGGGGTATGGCATATTGAAGAATATGCTATGGACTATTCTGATACGCTTCCCAAATAAATCATGGTAAACTAGCCGTTCCTTGTGAGGTACTATCAAACTCTTTTACATAACCTATAACACATAGATCTATATCCTTCAGATTTTCATTGCTTTTTTCTGATATTAATCTGAGTATAAATATCTAATTCCTTGTTGCAGTGTCTTTAACGAAAACGCACTGTTCTTGCCCTACTTCCGGTTTAATTCCGCTACGCGTTCGCTTTATCAGAATTCGGCTGATGAGTTTCCTTATATGGCTCGATACCTTGAATGTCTCACATTAAAATGATCTTTTAAAGCATTCTGGTTCGTACCTTAAGAGGACAGATTTAATAATCATGAGCTTTATTATTATTTTATCTGCCATATGGTTTATAGCATCCCAAACTAAAGTTTCTGATAAAGGTGGAATATTTCGCGATGAACCTATGACGAAATATCCTAGAATCATGTTAAAAGATATTTATTTATTTTGCCTAATTGGAAATTTCAGGCAAGAGAAAACAAATGACATTTTTCAGACGGTCATATATATATCGTCATCGTCATCTTCAAGAACTTGAAAAAGTTCCTAAACTTGGAAAATGGGTGCCTCATGAATTGTCTGAAAACAACCTCAAATCCCGAGTTGACATCTGCTATTCTCTCCATTCTCGCCAACTTGTTTACCTTTTTTGGATAGACTTGTAACTGGCGATGAAAAATGGATCTTTTATCGAAATGTTAAGCGCTGTAGACAGTGGCTTAGTAAAGGAGAAGGACCCCAGCCACAGCCGAGAAGGGAACTTCATGGGCAAAAGGTTCTTCTTTCAATCTGGTGGGATCGCCAAGGAATAATCCACTTTGAATTCTTACCACCTAATGCAACAATTAATGCTCAAATATACTGTCATCAATTACAGGGTTTCAACCAAGCTTTGAGGAAAAAAGACCTGCACTAGTGAATCGAAAAGAGGTGATGTTTCATCAGGACAATGTGCGACCCCACAAAGCAAGAATCACGTCACAAAAGATCGAAGAACTTAGTTGGGAGAATATTCCTCATCCACCTTATTCTCCCGATCTTGCTCCTTCAGACTACCATTTGTTTCGTAGCTTACAGAATCATTTGGAAGAAACAGCTTTTGTAACACATGAAGAGGTTAAAACTGACATTTGTGAGTTCTTCGAATCAAAGCCAAAAGAATTTTACAGTAATGGAATTAGTAAGCTTGTTCATAGATGGAAGGAAGTTATAGATAATCAGGGAAAATATATTGTTGATTCAATCTGTAATTAAATATAACATTTGGCCACTTGTTTTCTTTATTCAAAATTCGGACAAAACTTATGATATATATATATATATATATATATATATATATATATATATATATATATATATATATATTTATATATATATATATACAGAGAAGGGCTGAGTCGTTCTGAAATTTGGACCCTATATCGCAAGCACATAAATCAATTTGTCCCCTTTCCCGTGCGCTTGTCTTCGTGCCATATGTGATATAAAATGGGATGACAGGGTTAAGAATGAAACTGAATAAATGAAATACGGAAGAAATGTACATCACAGACATTGAAACCATTCCAGCAAAGATACAACTATAGATGATCTGGTCGCGTTGTGAGAATGGATGAGCATAGGCTTCCCCAAAATGGTGTTGTATGGACAACAAGCAAACTCCAAGCGGTCTTGTTGGACGTCCACTCTTACAATAGAAAGACAACTTGAAACGTCTCAACTTTGATCTGAAAACCTGGGAAGATCAAGCATCAAACTGAAAGGAGTGGCGTAAGACATGTTTCATTAAGTTAAAGGATTTTGAAGACTGTAGACTAAAGCACTGTGATCAGGTTCGTCAAGCTCTGAATCAGAGACGCCATTAAAATCCTGCTTCAACAAATTTCTTTGCCGACATTGTCAAAAGTTTTCCTTAAATAATGTTTAAAGAATAATAAAGCTGATAAATGAAATATACATATTTATATTTGATATTTAATAATTTTTAAATAATTTAAATAATTCTATACATTTATTTGTTTTAAAAGAATATAGTCTAGTAGTAATTAAAATTAAAAAAAATAATAATATTTTAAAATTGTAGTTCAATACGACGTATTCATATAAAAACCCTTTTAGAAAAAAATCTTTATGTATACAAGTACAAAATTAACTGCGAAACAAAAGTGCCGAAAACATTTTTGTCGTTGATAAAGACCAGGCGACATGCGTTGAACGGATGTCATCATTCGTTGAAAAAGCCACCCCTACCCTACCTTAACTTAACCTCTTTTCAAAAGTTAACTCATATTTTGATACAATAGTTGTCAGTGAAAAAGAATACCCTACCGCCTCTTGTTAAAATGATTGGATTTCCCCGTATCGTTAGAAACTAATATTATGAATGTATGCGCTTATAAAACTCAGTAAATTTCAAAATAAGTTATTCCAAAATTCACTTGAAAATGAAACAGTACTACGGACTTTAATTTAATTCTATAATTGAATTTGAAGTTTTTAGGTTCTGTTTTTTTTTAAACATGGTAATTCCTGTGTAGCGATGGAACCATATTTTAAAATTAGTAAATTTATAATATATATTCTCTGTAGATTTGCATTGAGCACTGTTTTGTACAGATAAAAATAATTAGTAAGAACACCTGATTATATATCTTACTGTTCTTTCTCTTTTTATTATATATATATATATATATATATATATATATATATATATATATATATATATATATAACTCTTCCGAAGAATCTTGTTATTGCTTAGAGAGCTCCCTTTGAGGCTTATATTTTCTGAGTATACCGAAATCTCTATTTAATTCCTCGATGTGCCATTTTATTTTGATAATATATATCAACTACGAAATATTCAGCGAGAACCCACCTAAGGCTAGGCGTCAACTCTCAAACCTACACACACTGCTAACATCATCCGGGATACATGATTCACCAACTCCCCAAGGGAATATCACCTGCAATAAAGCCTGATGCCAAGTCTGTAAACATATCATCACTGATGGGAATTTCCCACCTCACCCCACCCCGGCACTCACAATATGCAAGCCATCGGCTCTGATGTGTGACAGTTCAAATTATATATATTTACTTTTCTGCCATAAATGCAAAAAAGTGAGTCCCACCTCTTTGTTTATTCCTCGTCTTGTTGAAAGATGACACACGCGTGTCCGAAAGTTCCGACTTTAAAATCTGTCTCTTTGTGCTTCAATTTAGTCAACAGATATCATTAATTTTATTGCCAATATTGTTTTCATTATGCAGGCTTTTTATTCCTCAAATTTTAAGTGGCCTATTAAATTTACAAATACGCGCGCACACACACACACACACACACACACACACACACACATTTTGTATATACATACATACATACATACATAAATACATACATACATATATATATATATATATATATATATATATATATATATATATATATATATATATATATATATATATATATATATATCTTAGCTTCTCTTCTTTGTATGTCTATCGGAATAGAACAGGTACCACTCTAGAGAAAGACTCAGCAATTATTCTGCACTCAGTGTCTTACCATGTCCGTCTCCAATCAATTCCATAGGTACATTGCCACAGCTACACTACTGCTTTACCTATTATGTCACATATACAGCTTTTGCCTGCTTCTATTTTTAACAATCATCCAGTGTACTGCCTTATTTAATTTGGATCACTTCAGTCTATAACATCTGTTTTAAGAGAAACTGTTAATACTGTTGAAAAGAAAAATGGTGTGCGTTTTCTTCAAAGTCGCTTTATGTAAAGACATTTGAAGAAAGCGAGAAGAAAGGGAGATAAGTCTTTTTAAATAAGAAATTCTAGTGAACGACTTCTTTGTAGTTTATTGGAAACCGAAGATTAGATCAGAGAAGAAATGAAAGAATAGACGGTAAAAAAAAGAAACAATGAGTAAATAAAAAAATTGAGAGAATAAAAGCAGAAATGTCGGAAACTAGAAGAAGCCAAAAAAAAAAAAAAAAATGGAGAGAAATAGGTAATATTTGGAAGGAAAAAGAATAAAGGAACGAGATGAAAAAAAAACCTAATTAATTGTTACAAGGATAAAAAAAGATGTTAGATAAGAAGGAATAACAAAGAAATCAAGCATGAATGATAAAGCAAAGAGAAACGAAGTAAAAGACAAAAAGGAACGAAAAGAGAAAATGGCTGAAAATGTGTATAGAACAGACGAGACAAAAAAATGAAAATATCAGATATTCGGAAGGAGTAAAAAGCAGGAAAATGAAAGAAATAAAAAATAAAAAATTGATGTAAATATGAGAGAAAAAAAATGAAAGAAAAAAAAAAGAATGACTAAAATAATAGAAAAAAATTTTTGAAACAAAGAAATAACGAAAGAATGAATGAACTTATGATAATAAGAAAGTTGAAAAACGAACCATGAAAAAAAAAAAGAAAAAGAAAATGAAGGAGAAAGAAAGAAGCAGTTTTAAAAAAGAAAGAAAACAAATCAAATAATCGAATCCTAACGTTGGATTTTTTTTCATCGAAAGTAATTGTCGAGCTTAGAAAATAATGGAGAAGAAATCAAATTTATGGTTAACTGTAAATAAAAAGATTCACCTGCTATCTCTGTGAAGAAAACGAATAATTGTAAATATGGAATAGAAAGAAGGGATTTATGAAATTATCATAGTTTTGCGTTTGGGAATACGTGATTGTAATGGCGGTTCGCAAAGAGAAATCGGAGAGCAGTGTTCGAATTCTAGTCGAGTTCCGAAAGGAGTGGCGTAAAACATGTTTCATTAAAGTCAAAGGGTTTTGAAGACAGTTGACTGAAGCACCGTGATCAGCTTCGTCAAGCTCTGAAGCAAAGACGCCATCAAAATTGTGATTGTAATGGCGACAAAAATCTAGAAATCGGAGTGCAGAGTTCGAATTCCAGTAGGGTTCTTTACATCCACTTATGCGCAAATACCCTTGCAGGAAGATCTAAGTCTATATCTTCGTCTATCTCTAGCAATGGGTTAAATTTTTAGGGCAGACTGAATTTGTTTTAGCTTTGGTTGCCAACCAGTCTAGGAGAAGGACAACTCTGAATCAAAAATCTGAGGAACAACACTTAAATGTGTTATTCATTTTTAATCTGACATTTCTTATTTAAACGTTATATTTTAGTGGACAGTTCTGTTAGAGTAAAAAACCCTGTTTTGGGTTTTTTTTTTAACAGTGTGAATTGCATCTAGCGACCTATGCATTCAAAAGTCTTAATATGATCTCCAAACGCAAGTTCGAACCCTGATGAAGGGTACATTTTCTTTATTAAAACTCACGAATGTACATTTGAAATTTCTGGAATGAGCAAAAAGAACCTGGAGAATTGAAAGGGCGTACTGTAAGCAAAGAAAAGCAGATGGAAAGAGCGAGTTACCTGCTTTATGTGTTTGATTGAAAGAATAACAAAACAGGTACAAAATGGATGATAAAGGGTTAGAATGTATTTTGAGCGACAAAAGACTGACTTAGATTGCCCACGTCGCTTATTCCTTATCTCTGTTGAAAAGAGTGACAAGTTACGTTCGACGACACCACAGCACAAAGAATGACACATTTAACAATTTGAATTTCTCTAGTGCGAGAGAAGGAACTATTAGAATAGAACATACGGTTACATCTTGTTATTTGAATATTAAAAATGATGAGACCTAATAGCCAATCTAGTAATACGCTTAACTCGATGAAGTCGAGGTACCAAAGACGCAAGTTCAACAGAAAATTCTTATGAAAATATTTATCGAAGAGACAATGGGAAGCAGCATTACACCGGTGAGAAAGTGACTACAACTGAGATGTCAGGTCATGACCAATAACATTGCAGACTCTTTGGATTTTATAAAGAATCTATGAATATATAGCAGCAGCACCAGACCAGTTGTGGCAAGTAAACTCAGTCCACGGAAATATGTCCTGTCCTGAGGCGGCATTCACCCTGGGCGGATTGAGCCGGCTTCTTCCTATTGTGAGAAGAAGATTCTTGGGATAAATTACAGAAGTAGGGTACCCAGGCCTACTCGGATAACGTTCTTGCTTGCCGCGGGGTTCCCACAGACGCAGAGACAGGAACGACCAGAAGCCGCCGGTTGCCGATGCAGACGCTCCTTGGATTTTCACCAGAGCCCTTGTTAGCCGGCGTGTGTGTCAGACCTGTCCGCCATGGGTGGCCCTACCAGGAACGAAGTTCCGGACGGCATAGCTCTGACACTACCGTTTACACCCCCCCCCACCGACTGTGAGGTAAGGGTCGGACTTTGAGGGCTTAAAGTACCAGGTGTTCCCAAGCGGTCCCCCATCTAAGTACTGACCTGGCTCTACGATGCTTAACTTCGGTGATCGAACGAGAACCGGTGTTTTCAACGTGATTTGACCGTAAGCTTTCAATAAACATGTAAGATAGATTGTGATGAGAAAAAATGTCTGATAATTCAGAGAGAACCAGCTTTCCTAGCAGTAGCCCCAACAATTTATTCAATATAATCATTCCAATTATCGTGAGTGGGAAATCTGAGACCGCGAAAGCACAATGAGCTGTTCTCATGGAAGCTAAGTTCAGCCATACAAATTGAAGACATAAATGGTTGTCTAAAATGACGAAAAGACAAAAGTTTTGTTCATGAGGTCCCTAAAACTTGCAAAACATTTCTTGATGCAGTTGATAATTTCCGAGATCAACTACCACTTTTAACTTTGTCGGATCTATCGGACTTAATATTAAGACATTATTTTATAGTTATGCCATCAGTATTAAACACTGAGTGGGAAACTGATGAGAGGGGATTTATGAAGGAAAAAAAAAACAAGTAGGTCAAAGGATAGAGCCCTGGGGAAGCCATGTTTTAATGAGAAAGAATCTTCCATATATTTTACTTTTCATCGCAAAGCACAAGTCGTGGGTGGTCAACTTTTCTAATTTCAAAAGCAGATAAATCTTCCATAATGAAAAGGTTAAATGCACAATCGAGCAACAAAACCTTTATATATATGAACAAATATGAAAATTTATCTCACTCATTTATTAACTTTCTTTGGCAATGCCCGTTTATAGGAGAAACTTTGTAAATCACAGATACAATAATAATGACACCTTCGAACAATACTTAACCAGACCCCGCTAATTCCCATATATATATATATATATATATATATATATGTGTGTGTGTGTGTGTGTGTGTGTGTGTGTGTGAACACAGAAGACAACACTTAGAGGCGACAGTCTGTTTCATGCTATATGCAATCGTCAGGCCACGTGGCCCGACGATTGCATATAGCATGAAACAGAATGTCGCCTCTAAGTATTGACTTCTATGTTCACTTTTATATTTACACACAGTCTATCTATCATATTGAGCACTTTCTCCCATAAATGTAGCACACCTTAAGACTATATTTCTTCATATATATATATATATATATATATATATATATATATATATATATATACTCGACTCTTCCGTTGAATTCGATGTATGAGGGTCAAGCAGATCGTCTCCTAGGATACCGACAACAGCACATAAGATTTGATTATAGTGGTGAAGGTTTCGTGCAGGACCATCCACAATTTTTGAAGGGACGAATACAGAGACCTGGTGCACTACGTGCCACAAGGTGCCCAAACGACCCTCCGCAGGTTTTGAATTCAGAGTTGTCATTCTCCTAGACCAGCTGCCATCCAAGGCTATAGGACCCAGTCTGTTCTCCTATTTACCCATAGCTGGAGAGAGAAGAAGAGGATTCACACCTTTCCCAAGGATATTATCACGTAAGTGAATGTAATGGATTCGACTGGAATTCGAACTCGGCTCTCCGATTCCTCATTCCAAGCCGCTAAGGATATCATGGACTTAAGCATGGTGGCTTGAGAAAATGAATGATAGACCAGGCTTTGGGAGAATAACAAAAAAATAAAAATTATTAAGAGCTACAAGAGACATGAAGATGTGGAGGACCATGATCACCTACGTCCAGAAGGGACACAGCACATAACAGAAAAAAGCAGTGTGTAACATACTTGATGGATAGCAGAACAGGATTTGGGAGAAATAACAAAAAGACAAACATATTAAGGGACAGGAAGATGTGGAGAGCCATGATCGCCTACGTCCTGAGAATACACGGCACATAAAAGAAGTTGTAACATACTTGATGAACTTGAGTAAATGGATAGTAGAAAAGGGCTTGGGAGAAATAACAAAAATACAAAACCTATTAAGAGGTACAAGGGACAGGAAGATGTGGAGATCCATTATCATCTACGCCCTGAGACTCTTGAAAAGCTTCACCATTACGAGATTACATAAATCACTGTTTATGATGTGAAATAACAAGATACGGCTGAAAAATATATCTTTATTTTAACCGCAGGCATTCTGTTCCCTGAGGGGATCGAATTCAAAATAAATCCGTATTGTATCTACTTAACGTTATTGCGCTAACTAATGGAGGCAAAAAGTAAGAAGAGTGAAACATGTGGGCGAATAGGGAGATTAATGCTTGCTCAAGGGATTTCCTCTCAAAGTGGATTGAAGGGAACGATTCCCACCTCTTCAACAGAGACAATGATTGATGCTCGTTTCTATCTATCTATCTATCTATCTATCTATCTATCTATCTATCTATCTATCTATCTCTATATATATATATATATATATATATATATATATATATATATATATATATTATAGTAATAGTAGTACTCGGTTGGTAAAAAGATGATCGGTTTAAGTGAAAATTTTCTTTTTGGGAGAAATAACAAAAAGACAAATATATTAAGATCTATAAGGGACAGGTAGATGCGGAGAGCCATGATCGCCTACGCCCTGAGAGTATACGGCACATAAAAGAAGAAAGAAGTCGTAACATACTTGATGGACTTGAGTAAATGGATAGTCGAACAGGGCTTGAGAGTAATAACAAAAAGACAAAATTTATTAAGAGCTACAACGGACGGCAAAAGTGGTCTAGGGGATTTGGCAGAGGGGCAAAACTTATTGAGAGCTGCAAGGGGTAGGAGGAAGTGGAGAGTCATAATCACCTACGTCCTGAAAGGACACGGCACATAAAAAGAAAGAAAGAATGAATGAATGACAGAATAGATACAAATACATCTATTTCATTAACAATAAATCTAAATATATAACACAGTGCTAATAAGGCAGGAGTAATTCTGGTGAAATATTTACGAATTACACGAAATGTAAAGAGGGTATATCACACAATGAGTAAGGATTACTGACAGAGAAATATTTAAATATTAGTCAGCATGAAGCCTTTGTATATTGCACAATGGATATCGAAGATTTCCGAAAAATGACTTTTTAATCAACCGAAATCTTGCTGTATTGCATTACCTCATAAGCTAACAATTCCAGAGAAATATTAACGGATTAGCTAAAACATAGCGAAATATTTAAGGGCAAACAAATTGACTGATCGAGTAATTTGTTTTTTTATGGATTATCAACCTTTTGTCGGTTATTGAAAGCCAGAAAATAATTTTAGATTGTAAAAAATCTGAGCAGAGTATTGCGAGACAGGAAGATGTCTTTGGTGACGAAGAAAAGAGTACTGAGCTATTACGTGATATCTGTCCTTTACAGCAGCCAATGTTGGATGGTCTCCTCAAAGATGAAGAGACTCGAGGCGACGGAGATATGGTTCTACAGAAGGATGCTAAGGATATCATGGACTGAGCGTGTGAGCAACAATGAGGTCTTGGAGAGGATGAAAACAAGGAGTAGGCTTATAGTTAACATCAGCAAGAAGCAGTCAATGTTAGATGGTTGCCTCAAAGATGAAGAGACTCGAGGCGACGGTGATGTGGTTCTACAGAAGGATGCTAAGGATATCATGCCCTGAGCGTGTGAGCAACAATGAGGTCTTGGAGAGGATGAAAACAAGGAGTAGGCTTATACTTAACATCAGCAAGAAGCAGTCAATGTTAGATGGTTGCCTCAAAGATGAAGAGACTCGAGGCGACGGTGATGTGGTTCTACAGAAGGATGCTAAGGATATCATGGCCTGAGCGTGTGAGCAACAATGAGGTCTTGGAGAGGATGCAAACAAGGAGTAGGCTTATATTTAACATCAAGAAGAAGTAGCCAATGTTGGATTGTCTCGTCAAAGATGAAGAGACTCGAGGCAACGGTGATGTGGTTCTACAGAAAAATGCTAAGGATATCATGGACTGAGCGTGTGAGCAACAATGAGATCTTGGAGAGGATGCAAACAAGGAGTAGGCTTATACTTGACATTAGGAAGAAGCAGCCGAAGTTTCTGGAACACTAACGAGTAAGGAAGGCCAGGAGAAACTGATACAGGTCGAATAGAGGGAAAGACAGGCAAGGGAAAACGGCGCATGACACACCCAGCGGCCTTAAGCAAGTGGGTGACAGAACGTGGCCTTTGGGTGGTGGCAGAGGGACGAAACTTATTGAGAGCTAAAAGGAATAGGGGAAAGTGGAGAGCCATGAAATAAAAGAATAATGATTGTGGAGTGAGAAGGAAGGAAGGAAGGAAGGAAGGAAGAAAGAAAGAAAGAAAAGAAAGAAAAATGGAAGGAAGGAAGGAAGAAAGAAAGAAAGAAAGAAAAGAAAGAAAAATGGAAGGAAGGAAAGAAAGAAAAAAGAAGGATGAGCTGTTACATGGCATCTCTTCCTTTTTACGGCAGAAAATATTGGATGATTTCCATAAAGATGAAGAAGAAACTCGAGGCGACTGTTATGTGGTTCCACAGAAGGATGCTGAGGATATCATGGAGTGATCGTGTGAGCAACAATGAGGTCTTGGAGAGGATGCAAACAAGGAGGAGGCTTATACTTAACATCAGGAAGAGGCAGCTGAAATTTCTGGGACACTTAATGAGAAAGGATGGCCTGGAGAATCTAATACTCACAGGTCGAATAGATGAAAAGAGAAACAAGGGAAAGCAACGTATGACACACCTGGCGGGCTTCAGCAAGTGGTCTAGGGGATTTGGCAGAGGGGCAAAACTTATTGAGAGCTACAAAGGATAGGGGGAAGTGGAGAGTCATAATCGCCTACGTTCTGAAAGGACACGGCACATAAAAAGAAAGAAAGAATGAATGATATAATGATACAAGTCCTAATAATTAACCCATAGCTGGGGGGAGAAGATGTATAAGGTGAAGCAGAAATGCAACGGTGGCATATTGTGCATTAAATAGCAGGATCTTCTAGAGAAATATTTAAATATTAACCAAAATCTAGCATTGACACTTCGACATATTGTTTTTAATTTTTTTTCCAGAATAGTCGTATTATCAAATAGATGGTTGGTGCCATGATGAATAATAAATAAAATAAAATAAACATTAGAATAAATCGAGGAAAATTGCTGAAAGCAACGTTCCTCTT